TGTAGTTGGAGACAGAGCTTTAACTCTGGTGATTTTCCAATATGCAGAGAGCTTTTGTGCAGAAAGGGAAGACAGTTGAACAAGGAGGTGTTTCTACAACTGGAGCACGTAAGGACAGAACCCAGCTCCAGGGAGGGAGGTACCCACTGTGGGAGATGAATCTTCCCTGTGCTAGTCCCACTGCATCCAATATAAACCAAAGGAACTGGCCTTGTTAGGAGTGGAAAGAAATGCATGGAAGGAAGTGCCTCCAGGATATAAAAAGGGGACAGAGATGGAGCAGGGGTCTTCTAGAGAAAGGGACTGGCTTCAAATACTAATCAAAGTATAGTGCACGCATAAACAAGGACATATGATTTCATCTCTCTGAGCCTCAGTTTACCCATCTATGCAAAAATATATTTCAGATCGTGCTGTGGGGCTTAACTGACATAGCATATGTAGTGAGCATATGTAACAACAAATGTTAGGATTTGTTTTCCTTCTTTATCAGCAAAATGACAAAACTGAACAATTTTTCTTCTTTTGATAAGTATTTATACACCACACTATGCATTATAAAACCTGCTCATTTCCATTATTTCATAAAACACTCCTAATTCATGAGAAAGCTACTCTTGCCGCCATTTTCCAGACCATGACATTGAGGTACAGAGAGGCATGAAGATTTATGTAGTTATCGACCTGCAGCTAACACTGGAAAAACGAGCTTTAAAAGCCTTTTACACTATATCGTATCTCCACTAATAGAGGTTATTTTCTGAAAATGAATATTTCACTGAGGAAACAACCAGACTCCCAAGGATTCGCCATTTAAAGAGTTCACATGATGTGTAAAAGGAACATGAGGATTTGTATAAGTGGATATAACCCCTAAATATTCAAATTCCTGTTTCAAAGAAAACTGACATCTAAGACATAGTAAAGAAAAACTAATTCCCATCCATTGTTCCCAGTCATGGCCATTGGCATTTGGAAGATAAAAAGTCCAAGAAATCCCAAAGTTGGTCTTTTATACATCCACAGCACTACTGATGGAGACATGGCTTAGTCTGTGTTTCAGACTCCACACGCTGAAAGAGGGTGAGCTCTGTAGTCATAATGCCTGGCTTAAGTCCCATCCAGTTCTGTAGCTGTGTGACTTTGAGAAGGCAGTCAACCTCTCTGAGTCATACTTTCTTCATTCATAAAAATGAAACTATGTGCTGTAGGAATTAAATGTGGAAATTATATAGATAGATATTCCTTAGTATGGTGCCTGGATATAATAAGCACTCAATACAAATTAGGTATTATTTGAAAGAAAAATACCAGTAAAATGTATGATTTATAAATCAGCACTTAAAATTTTTCTCATAGCAAATAACAATTACCAAAAACAAATAAACAAAATAATATCAACAACAATCCCACCACCACCACCACTACCACCACTACCACCCAGGAATAAAAGAAACAAAACCCTCTAAAGTTAGATTGATCATACAAGCACTGATCATTTAAGGTAAGGCCAAGAGCTGTCTTTCTCCTACAATTGATATGGAAAAACTTTCAAGGGAAAATGGAATTTTCAGTGATAGGATTAAAATAGGAAACCTGATAAACTAAACTGAATTGAATTGAATGAGATGCATTTTTCCAAGCCAGAATCTGCCATTGCTAATTAGTTCACTTTTGCATTAAATGTATCCAGGAACTTGGATTGAGAAAACATTCTGTGATTTTTTTAAGGTTCAAAGCTTGACTTTTCCAACATAAAATTAATTCTTGCATGATGGGATATGAGGAAGGTATAGTACACACAAAGGTTTTGGAAATCAACTTGGCAAAACTAATGTTATCCAGTAAAATTAATTTCTCAGAAAATTATTTATAATAGTAAATAAATGAAATTCTGCATAGCAATCTTAGGAAATATATTTTGTTAGCTTACCTCTATATTTTACCAAATTGAAAACAGACCTACAAATTCAAAAGTTATAATAGGATACTCTGGAGATATTAAAATTAAATGTGGAAAGTTTTTTTAGTGGCATTGTAAAATGTTTTAATACTAATAATAAAATAACAAAACAGATTACTACATGAATTATATAAAATCTCAACTATATAAAGCTATTCATAGGAAAAAGCTATGGCAGTAGTTACTTCAGAGAATTGATTGTGGATAATATGTTATATATTATTATTATTTTATGTTATTTCCCTTGTTTTTGTTTCAACTTCTTTAAGGAGAGCATATGCCATTTACAATCAGAAAATAAAAAAAACTTTTAAAATAAGTCATTTCTAGAGGATGGAAAGTAAGAGGACATACATTCCCCCCCACCCCCTCCAAGTTAAAGGTAACCTCAATCTCTCCGGTTTAGTGCTTTGTAATCTGACTTTACCAACTCCAAACCATCGTCACTGAAGTTGTAATTCTTAGTTCCACCAGAGCAGCAAAATCTCTGTCCCTGTCTGACTTCTACATGGAAAGAAAAACAAGCTGTTCACATCTGTCTTACCTTTTAATAATTGTATTTTAAATTACAGCTATTTGTCAAAAGCTCTTAAACTTGTAGCTGTGGATCTATGGGTTCCATGACCTCGCTCCTCTGGAAAGGGCTGATGTAATTAGAAACATTCCATTATCAATCATTCACGTAATGGTCGGTCTCTCCCTCTCCCTCATCAATTATTCTATTTTAGACAAAAGATCAGACCAACTTTACCTCCTCTCAGCTCTATGCTGTCATTTTCACTAATAGAATTTTAAATTTTCCTTAGAAGGAAGTTTCCTGGGGAGACTTCTTTGCCACTGCCAATTAAGGGTAATTTTTATACTCTCCCCGGAATTAGGAATGGATGGTAACAAATGTGGTTAAAGGTAGCCCATTTAGAACAAAGTGACTTTTCTGACATTTTTTCTTTTTAATTGGATTTACTGGGGTTACAAGAGCTAGTAAAATGATATAGGTTCCAGGTGTGCAATTCTATAATACATCATTTGTATACTGTATTGTGTGTGCACCATCTCAAGTCTCCTCCCATCACCATGTATCCTCCCTTCACCCTCTCTTATCTCGCCCACACCCCTTTGCCTCTGGTAATCACCAGGCTGTTGTCTGTGTCTATGAGTTTTTGTTTTGCTTAATCCCTTCACCTTATAACCCAGCCCAGCAACGCCCTCCCTCTCTGACACTGTCAGGAGACTGCAGTTGATCTTCATTCCTCATGAATGAAGGACTAATAAATACATTGCTACGTGTCACTTACAAGTTGAACCGGCCCTTACCTTAGTAGGGCCTTCTGAGTGAAATGGACAGATTAGCAAGAGAGGACTATTGTTTCTATGTATTTCTGTTTTTCTTCTGAGCTGTTCCTCACCTCTTCCCTCTGGCCTCCTTGCCTGGCCTCAGAGCAGTGCTTGTCCCCAATATCAGCATGGGAGCCAATCTCGGGCTTCTCTGCCCTGCTTTCTACCTGACAATTCACAATTGTAGTTCCTCCCGCTCTCCCCTCCTTCTGACCCATGGAAAAATCTTATTTCACCTTCTTAGGTGGCATCTGGCTACATGTGTGTGTCTTTCTCCTGTTCTCTAGGAATATTTGTGGTCCAGAAAAACATCTTATTTTTCTTCCAGTAGGTGATAAAAATTTATCTTATAATAGTTATAAGATCCATGGAAGCTTAGTTATTCTATTTGTTTTAAATTAACTCAATCTGTTATGTGCTGAGGGCTGCCTGTCTGTGAGAGCCAAGGCTACACCGCCAAGATAGGAAGAGGGATGGTTTCAGCCACTGGAGGCCCATCCAGGTCTCAGCGCTTCCCTCCACAGAGCACTGCTCTTCCCTCCTCAGCTCTCACAGTGCCTGCTCAGGGGCCTCAGCAAACTCTCAGAGGCCCCAGGACTCTGTGTCAAGCTTCTGCTGATATCAGGGAGCTGTCCTGGAACTGGGGCGCAGCTCCTACCCTTGAACCTGCCGTTCCCTTCCCTTATCTCCCCTCCCCTCCTAGGACAGGCCCCTCAGGAGCTGCTCTCCTCCCCACGGGGTGAGCGGTCACCTCCCCAGTCCCCATCCACCCTGATTAGGTGGTGTGATCTGGCCAGGGAACGTCTAGTTTTAGCCTTGAAACAGGAAAGTTTAAGAACCCACTGGTTGACACCTTTTTCCCAGAGACGATCTTGTATCTAACTTTCACACCGGAAGTGGGTAAACCACCTGCGCTCGCCAGAGGAGGACACGGAGCCAGAGGGTGACCGGACAAATACCATGGAAGTGTTGAATGGAACTTGTGAGAGGACGCGAGTCTCAGTTCTCTCTCAGCCTTCCTACTGCACAGGCTGGCCAGTGGGCCTCCTTTGCACGGGTAACGGTGATAACGCACAGGTCCTTCTTATCTGCGTGTCAGTCCCTATAGCCACTGCTCATGCAATATTGTGAGGCCATTTAATGCCCATGGCCCAGATGTACTGAGCCTGGATCTCAATACCGACTCTAGGCTGTCTGCTTTGTGGCTAGATCAGTTTCAGCTTGAAATGATTACATTATAGTAGACGGACATTTACGAAAATATACTTGGTATCATTAGAAAGAAGGGTATGTATTTATGCTAGGGGACTTGGTTCTTTTGTCTAGATAAGCCTAAACAGGATTTTATTTACATGTTTCTAAAGGACGGTAGGTTAATATAAGACCTTCATGGAAATAATTCTCTTATGTTTACTGAGCAGTGGCCATATGTTAACAATTTTCCTGAATTCAATGCTCAGAACGACATGATATAGAAACAATGATGATTAACTCAGTATAAATAAGGACATTTAGGATCACAGAGGCAAGGAACTTGGCTTAGTCTCAAAGACGGGAGACGGAGGAACAGAGATCTGAACCTTGGCACCCAGCCCTAAAGATTGCTAAGCTCTATGGACCGCTGTTGTAAGAACAGGACGTGCCGCACACTATGCTGCATCGTCACCAAGCCTCCTCCGCTGCCCACACCCAACTAATGTCGCACTTTCTTCCTGCCTGGAGCGATGGCTGGAGCAGAGGAGGGAAACGCCGTATGGAGCCTGAGGACCAGGAAGGGAGCACCTGGGGTGCCCCGGGCCTCAAGCTTGGGTGAGTCTCCCTCGGTTTCAGCATGAATGTCCATTTCTCCAGGAGCCTGGCAGCTGGGATTAATGGTAACGCCCGTTGCCATGTGGGGACATTTCTCCTTTTCTCTGGCTATTTTAGTTGGCAAGCCTCCTGCGAAGGCCTCAGACAGCTGTTGTACTATTATGGTTTGGACTTGAGTGCCACACACATGGTGTGAAGATGAGAGTGACCTGGAGGTTAGTAATTAAACAAACATTTTCTAAGTGCCTTTATATACACAAACGTTAAAATGGAGAGGGAAGGTAAACATAAATATAGAATTAACATAACACAAGGTCCTTCTTTGGGAAATTAGAATGTCATTTGAAAAATGAATAATTGTATGTGAAATGATGTGGCCTGGTCTCGATGGGGACACATTTTGCATGTTTTTTAAAACCTGTGTTAATTTTCACATCAAGTGGAACACTATCTATAAATTGTAAGACTCAAAGAACTCCCAACATATCTTGAATCAATGATCAACGATCTAAGTGAGGTTCTCTGGGCTCTGCCCAAGACCCACCGAGTAAAAAATGCCTGGGTCTTCTGCTTCCGCGAAGATGGACACATGCACTTTCCCTGCTCCTCCCGCAGAGGACAATGGAAACCCCTGCACATTATACATGAAACACACGGAAGACGAAATCAGTGCTCTCCCCACCAAGGACCGCAGAAGTCTCATCTCCTGGTAGCATGAGGCCTACTAGTGTGATTTCAACCTGAAGTCAATGCTAGGACAGATGCATCTGCTCAGGTACTGTTATCCAGGGACTTTAGGTCCACGTTTACACCCCCACAGGGAGCGCATCCAGGTCAGAGCCCACCTTTCAAGGAACAGAAATGCAGAGTTGAAGTGATGTGGGTGTTACGTGGATCACTGGATCACTATGGAAGCCATTTCACTACCACAGCCCTTCGCCATGGGATGATGAAGCTAAATACCAGACAGTATCCTTGAACCCAGAACTCACAGGCTATGCAAAATTTTTCAGGCCCTTTAGTGGATCCATTTGCATTTTTGAAATAAGTTGTTCAGAGAGGGGTTAGTTAATAGCTAAGGGAGCTATTAAATCTTGATGTCTCAGGAAAGAAAATTTTTTAATCTTCAAAATAAGAATGAGATGGCTAGGAGTGCTGCTCCTACAATACCCTTGTCACCAGAGGTTACACAGTCACACATCAGGGTTAACTTGGCTTCAGTGCAGCGGGACCACATGGGCTGTTAACCTGCCTTCCACATAGGAAACTTACTGCTGAGTCCAGCTCAAGTGCCTCATACACAGATTTCCCTGACAGGCTAACAGGGAAGGGAAGCCATGATTAATTATACCACTGTGACAGCGACAATGGAAATACGTAACCCCGATATACAAGCACACTTTATTACTGCTGGGTACCACTCTAGGCACTAATGTGGACGGAGTCTGGGAACAGGGAATACTCATTGTAAAATACCTTGAAGTGGTGCATGAATTTAAAAAACACAGTGAATGTACTAGTACATTCCTGGCCTGGCAAGGGGACCTGCTGTTGATCTCTTTGGAGGAGGGTCCCAAATCCCCCTGTGCTGGCCAGTGGCCCATTCAGTGAGAGCTACGTCTGGGTCAAGGGTTTAATGCAAGCGACCAGCACAGTCCTTTCCTTTATCCCATCACAGTAAGAAGTGGGTAGTAAGAATATTACTCTGAAAAGCAAGTACACACACTTCACCTAAGCAAAACAGTAGGGACAGAGAGAAAGAAAAAGGGCAATCTGGGTCAAATGTGTGGCACTACGTTGTCTACCTAGCAAACCCAGAGACCTCTCCTGGCTGCCAGAGAAGGGGGGGCGCGCGTGGGGAACCCAATGGCTCACAGGTGGCCACGCACCCCTCCTATGCGGGCAGTGCCAGTGCACAACTGCAGTCCCACCGTGATCATCAGTCTCTCTTTCCTTCGGATGGTGCCATGGACTGAGTGTGTCTGTGTCTCCCCCAGATTTCCATGATGCAACCTGAACTCCTCCAAGTAATGGATGCGCAGGTGGGCCTTTGGGAACGGGACTAGTGCTTTTACAAGAGGCGGCAGGTGAGAACTCCCGCCCTGTCTCTGTTCTCTGCCAGGAAAGAACACAATGAAAAGACAGCCATCTGCAAACCAGGAAGTAGACCCGCACCCAAACCTGACCTTGCTGGCCCTGCGACCTCCAACTTCCCTCCCCCAGAACTGAGAGAAATAAACGTCTTATTGTCAGTGCCAGCAGCCCAAGCTCGCAGATCCCCTGGAGGCGTATTAAAACTTCGGCAGAGCTGTTTCCTTCTCTCTTCAGCGGAAGCATAAGGGCCATGTCAGCGGCCATCTCCAACTCTTCCCTGGCTTTCCCAAATATCCCTGCTCTTCCGACACAGAACACCTTAGAGTTTACCGAGTTTAATAAAGACTTTCAGAGTCTACCTGGCAGAGCGCCTCGGAGCCAGGGGCTGTGTTCCAGACCCTTCCACTTGTTGCCATGCTTGTCTGAGTTGAAAATCAATCCATGGTTGTTCCGTGGACACGTTTTGTTCTTCACTCGTCTGAGGGCACAATTAAGTCTCTGGAAATAAACGCTGTGCTCAGGGACGTCATTTGATCAGGGACTAACTGTGCTTCTTTGGGTCAGAACATTCGCAGGCAGAAGTAACAAGTTCCCTTTCAGGAAGGGACAGAGTCTCCCGGCGAAATCCGAACCCGGCTTTTTATCACTTCACACACAGAGGCAGCCCTGGTTGAGGTTTGCCTTTTAATGATTTATTAGCGCAGCCGCATCTGACAGTTTGAGTGTTTTAATTCTGCCTGATCCGCACACAGCTTTGACACTGTTGACTGTGACCTCCTCCTGGGTCGCTTTGAGTGCCCTGTCGGCTGAGCTGAGCTGACAGTGAGTGGGTTTCACTCCCGTTTGCTCAACAGCGATCTCCTTTCCCAATGAGAGGCCCCTTTCCTTCTCCTGGGCTGGCATTCGCGAGGCTGGCTCCGGGCACCTCCACCCAGGCTCCAGGGCCAGGCTGCGCCCTCTAACAGGAGGAAGTGGGTGCAGGGGAGAGAGAGCAGTCTTTGAGCTCAGGCTGTGGCTGGAGTTCTGGCTCCAGGTGACAAGTCACTTCACCTCTCAGCGCCTTGGGTGGGCCATCTCTAAGTGGAGACGATGACGCCACCTCGAACCGTGTTTGTGCAGATCCCAAGGCTACCTAGTGCACCAGACTAGCCCTTCCGGGAGGCCATCCTTCTGGAATGACAAGAGTAATGAGCCCTTGGGAAAAGTGCCATCGACTGACTCAACATCACAACAGTATTGCCCTCGGAGCCAGGAGAGGAATTAAAATTAGATCTTGACTTTGGAATCCTGACCATTTTTATTTTTTATTTTATTCTGGCAATATGTAAAAATATTGTATTCAAATGTGTCTGCATCATAGATGAGGTTATGCATTCCTATGAGAGCAGAGAGTTCTCAACTCTTTAGCTTTGGATTTCCTTACAGCTTAGGACCCACATAATTATGACGCAGACTAGGAGAGTTTAGTGAAGAAAAGGGGGCGATATTGATAATTGCTCCAGGATGGTAAGTCAAACACCAGCATCGGCTTAATCAAATTGATATGGTTACCCTACATATAAACTCTTGCACAAACACTGACACAGGAAACAGTTAATCAATTACTAATAAACTAAAAATTACAGATCAATGCCTCACAGAGCAAAAGTAGCGTTTCCAAATTCAGACTTGTGTACACCGATCTCTTTCTAACCTGGTATTTGCTGTGTACACGGCTTGCAGAGAGAGTCTATCTCCGAAAATAGATAGATCAGTGCAACTCAGGCTCAACTTGCTCCCCCTTAAAGCCACATCCCGGAGCTGCCGGTCTGTCTCTAAATACTCTTGCTCTGCGCCCTGCCCTCTTCCTCACCGATGTAGCCCCCAGCCCTTTCCCAGTTATGAGTACCATGAAAGCTTTCAGAGCGCTATTTTCACTTCTCTGACTGCTCACCCAGAAAAAGCACTATTCTTATTTAATTACAATGAGTTAATTAGAATAATTTAAGGTAATTAATTCAAATATGATCATTTGATTCCCATATTTTAAAAACCCCTGGTATTCCCCTGACTTAATTATAAAACTCAATCCCAGAACCATTCCAATTGCCAACCTGACCTCAATATGGAGTGCAGTCCCCACGGTCCGGCTCTCATTCCCTGTAACCATGGCAGCTCATCCTAACACTTCACACTGCCCTGAATAGTGACTTCTTAAGACCATCACAATCTCTTCTCTCTTCCTGGAATCGCCTTATCTCCTTTTCTTCAATTCCTCCTTTTTATTCCGACTGCCACTCACTGCGTGTCTACTCTGTGAAACAGTCTGCCCCCTTAGGGAGAATGGGGAACCACTTCCCTGAGATTCCCGGGCACTTTGTCCACGTCTCTGCACGATCAGGTGATTGCCTCACGTGCCTGTATCTGCCCTGGAGCGTGAGCTGTGTGGACAAGACCTCTGGTGTACTGGCCTGTGCCTCTGGCTGTTTGGCGGGGAGTGTCTGTGTATGGAGAAAAGGAGGTCAGAGAAATGCAGCAGGAGACAGGACAGCTCTTGGCTCCTGTGCATCTTTTCAAAGCCCTGACACTCAGAACTGTTGCTATGGCTGCTGACGAACAATGGTAGTGCTCTGATTTTTTATGAGCAATAGTATCACTGACAGCGATATGCAGAGTCCACTTGCTGAACACTGACTGGGGTCCAAGCACGAAACTGGTACGTGTTTATATCTGTGGAGCATCTGCTGAGTGCCTATCACTCTTATAGGTGAGGCCATGATAGTGACAACTATAATCACACCACTTACAGAGAATTTCTACATGCTGGTATTGTTCTAAATGCCGCCCTTTCTAATGAATTGATTTTTAGGTTAAACAACTTGCCCAGAGCCGCACAACTATTAGGAGGTGACCCCAGGCATCAGTGTGAGGAGTCCGGCCCCAAGGCCTGTTTTTAATGCCTCTCTTTTCCTGAAGTGGCTCAAAGCTCCTTTTCACATGATGTGCACATGAGGAAAAAGAAATAGATGGTGTAAATAAGTGATAGGCAAATAAATAAGGCAGGCATTACAGAAAATTTAATAATTCAGAGAGAGAGGTTCTTTGCAGAGACTAACAGGGGTGATAAGTCAGCGAGTGACGGGCAGTGAAGGCTGGGCATGGAGGCTGTGGTGGAGGTGAGGCCACACATCCCTGGGTCATGTTCCCGCTGGAGGAAGCAGCAGGCCCCATGCCGCTGAGGGTCTCGTGAATATGACAGGCTCCAGGATGGGAAAGAAAGCCCGCGTGTCTCAAACACAAGGAGAAGGTGGGGAGTCCCAGAAACAAGGCGCGACGCGAGGCGAGGCGAGAGGAAGGAGCCCGGTCCTGGTGAGTGGTTTGTACTCTCAGTGCAGTGGAAAGACAGTAGATGGTCTAAGCAGGAGTCACCTGATCAACATCTATAAAGAGTTCCGGCCAGAGAGACCAGTCAGGACTACCTTGCGGAGTCTAGCATGACAATGATGGTTTGAAGTGGGCTGAAAGAGTACACATGGCCACACCAGAGACCAGTCAGGACTACTTTGCAGGCCTAGCATGACAACGATGGTGGTCTGACCTAGGGCTGTAACGGTACACGTGGCAACAAACACATGGGTGCTCCTTAGAGCGCCTCAGGCAGCTTATGAGCCAGCATGATGCTGCCACTGCAGCTCTGAGGAACCGGGGCTCAGAGTGACTCAGTCTTTTAAGAAAAATTCCCCAATATCTGTTACAGGAGCTGAGTGGGGATTTGAACCCAGCTCATCTGCCTGGTCCCAAAGCCAAGAATCTCCCAGAGGTTCAGCGGCTGCTATGGCCAATGATAATACTGACAATGGAAAAGGGCGGGGGGTTCTAAGCAGTGAGCAGAGAGGGTAGAAAATTGAGATAGAGCTCGGGAAATCCCTGATGAAGAAAGCAGTGTGTAAGGTGGCGACTGGCAGTGGGCTGGGATATAAGGATGGCGATGTGGCCAGCGCTGTGGTACCTCCTGGGCCTGGACTCACTGGGAACTGGAAAGACCTCAGCAGTGACAGACACAGTAGCAAACCGTGACCTGACAAGCACATGACAGGTGATAGCAAACCATGACCTAAGCACATGGAGGCCCAGACAGCAGGCCTCACAGGAGCTAGAAAGCAGGGGGTCTTAAAGGAGAGTCTCATGAATGATAGCCAAGGATAACAACGGCGTTGAGATGATTTTTAGGGCACAGCATAATGGCTCCATGGTCATCAGGGACTCAGTGTGGAAGTCCAGGTCTGGAATCACCAGCACCCAATGTCCAGCTGACACTGGTCTAGTAGATAAGTGGTCAGTATTCAGTCTTGGGAGTTCTATAAGCAGCACATGCTTTTCTCTCCTTGAGCCTGAGCCTGACTTTGCTTATTGTAAAATGAGGCTGATGAAATACATGATGGCTAATTTCCCTTTAAATCAGTAATTACTTTATATAACAAAGGCAAAACATCAGTGATTTAGAACCCAATGATTTTATGAGTATGGTGTGATTTAACTCAATGAATGCACAAGTTAACTATATGAATAACTATAATTAGTCACATAAAGCACGTCTTCAGGTAAAATATTTAATCTCCCATTTCAGTGATCCAAATGTACCTCCTACTTACTATATTTCACCATGGTAGCATCATCCATCTAGGTGTCCAATTCCAAGCCTTACGAAATACCACCACAAATGACTAATGTTCAAACCACATCAAGCCTATTTCCTTAAGGCGCCGATTCCTCTATGGAGAGATAGCATTTCTCACCTGAGTTACTATCACATCCTGTCCATCTGGTCTCTGCCTCTGTACCTGGATTTCCCACTTCTTTCTCTGTATATTTGTCAAACCAATAATTTCAAACAAATACCCAATACCATCTCTTCTGTGTTGGAAATCCTTCAGTGAGTTAGAGCTTCCTGGAGGAAAACTCCAACTCCCTATCTTAGTGTGAGAAGCCCTTCAGAATGGGTATGATTTGTTCTGAATTACAGCAGGTAACAGCTTCCACCGCTCTCCACTTCATATGCATCATTCTACCTGGAAGAAGTGACTCTAAATTCCTGGAAAATACCATCTCCATATGTCTATGTCTCCCAAATTATTAGTCCTTAAAATCGGCTTTCTTTTCCTCCCTTACCTTTCCATGACCAGCCCTGATATTCCTATTCATTTATCAAGATTCTTCTTTGTTCTTTGTAAAACAGCCCTTCCTCAACCACCCACTCCCAGATCTCTGGACCCCTCTCATATGTTGATGACATTTCCCTGTTCTTACATAATATTTCTACAACAGAAACACCGTATTTGATTATCATTATCAACTAAATGGTAGCCCCAGCAACTGCATGACTGTTAAGAAAATGACTTACTCATCTCTGGCAATCCTCAGTCACTACAACTGTGTTGGGTACACAGCAGGTAAATAAAAATTTTTTGAATAAATGAGTTACTGAATTCATGTTCTTCTCATCAGTAAAGAAGGCCCATGAAATGAAATTAAGTAATCGTGGTCTGTTAGTTCAGGTTGTAATATGAACACAAAAATTATGGTGACAAATAATGGATTATCTATTTCTGCATTCAAAATTTCTACAATTCTAACCAAAGTTCTCTCCAGTTACATTTTAATAAACAAGAAAATTCTGTGCTGTACATAGCTGCCTTAAAGAAAGGAACTGTTCCAGTAATATGACAACATTGCCTACAGAAACAAATAATTTAGGTTTCAGTTAGTTGTAACATTTATGACAACCAAATAATTTAATAAATATAATACAAGTCCCCCAACTATAATTACCACTCCCTTTTATACTTCTATTGCGTTCAAAACCCTTATCTAAACACCTGCAGTGTGAAAATGCCACCCCTGGCTGTGAAAATCACTGCCTAGAATTCATCTCAGTTCTCTCCTATTTCTATTTATCCTTTGAATTATTTCAAGTCATCAAGCCAATCAATGTCAACAGATTGATAAGGATGTCATTTAATTTCATGAGCAAGCTCAACAGTTTTATCTACGCAAAGTAAGATAATAAGGGTAACTGGGTCTATGCCTGAAGGCTCTGAGGAATTCTCTGTTTTCTGCCAATATTTTTTTCATCAAATCCTCCCTAGCAAGTCTCTTCAGGAGATAGTATTACCTCACTCTACAGATCA